TGTTTCCAACTAAATTAACTGTGTTCCTTAGTAGAATCAAGGCTAGTCCTAAGGAAAAATCACTTTTTTTCTATCCAGTGAAAAAACAATTATTTGCTCTGATTAGGTGAGTGATAAAATCTCGTGGAAAATTCTCCACAGCCACTAAGACTCCTCATGAGTTAAAACTAGGCCCATAGGGCTCCCTTGAGGAACTCAGAATAGTCGACTGATGTCAAGGACTTTGGACCTCTCCCCTCAGAGCAGGGCGCTCCCACGAGGGCCCACAGCCCTCAGGCCTTACTTTATCTCATTTCATCCTCACAGCCCCCTCTGAGGTATGCATTGGGCCATTCCACCTTTCAGATGAGAAACTAGTGTTTAGTGATGTTCATAAACTTGTCCAAGGTTTCATAGCTAACAGTTGGTAGAGCCAGGATTCTTGTGACAGGTGCCAGAAGATAGGGCCATTATTCCAGACAATGTGGTAGCTTTCTTTGCAGAGTCACTGAGGCTCAGGAAGGCACCAGGCTTCACTCCCGGGGCTTTCCTGAGATTTTTAGGGAATAGTGATACAGCAGCTCTCCGCCTGGCTCTTGGAACTTCATTGCTACTTTGTCAACAATTTTTAAGACTTGAGTTCTGACTCATTCAATACAAGTTTTGTATTATGAGCTAGAACAGACATACAAAAAAGGTATGCAATAATTCTTTTCATGCCTTTTGACTGCAGACAGAATTGATCTAATCTGGACATTCTTTATTGAACTTCTCTAGTTGAGCATGAGGTGCTTCTTCATGGGTCTCTCGGCTGTCAGACTCGGAGCCACTTTTGGAGCCACTTTTTCGGAGTCTCTCCTGCCTGAGCAGGGCGTGGAGGATTCCACTTCTGTCCCTGTCCATCAGCAGGACTGAGGCCCTGCGACATGACGAACTGCTGGGAGGGCATGACTCAGCCGGGCCTGAAATTCAACATGCAGGGAAGAGGGGCAGGCTGTTCCTGACAGTTTCCTTTCTATGAAACTTAAGTTAAACAGAGAAGAGCCCATATAGTAGAAGGAATGAGACTGATTGACAAGAAAAAAATTTGCTCCATGGTCTTGAGTCTACAGGTTGACAGAAAAATAATTTAACTTAGAGTTTGAATTGTCATAGTATTGGCATCCTCATTTACCATCATAAACTTTTAGAGACTGGAGTTCATTTGTATGTTAGGACAAATGCAGGGGCATGGACAAATGTGCTTATTTTGAGAGTTTGTGCCTTCTGTGAGTAAACAAATTAGTTCTGTTCTAGCTGAGGGTCGATCCAGCCATATTACTAGTTAGGGAGTATGCACCTAGCTAGGCGAGAGATGCATCCAGGCCAGAGTGGGATTTCTAGGGACCAGTGATGATGGTAAGGAGATGGGGGAGTCAGGTGAGGAAGACACCTGCAGAGCAAAGCGGGACATGACATGAAGCCAGAGGACTTTGAGAACTTATCACTTGGAGGTGAAGGAGGACTCACAGGGGCTAGATAGCACCCAGAAAAGATCAGGAAGCAAGGCAAAGCTGGAAGAAATTGGTGACCCAAACATACCTGACAATGGGGCCATCCTAACCCACCGTCACTTTCGACTAAATATCTGGACCCAGCATCCTGTCTCAGCTCATACTATCTGTGTGCCTGTGCCGTATGCCAGCACACTTCAGCTGCACTAACTTCTTTCTGTTCCTCCAACTTGCCAAGCCCATTCCCACCTCAGGGCCTTTGTACATGTTACTCCGTCTGCCTAGAGTGCCTGCCCTCCGCCATGTTTACATGATTGGTTTCTCTGCAGCCAGGTCTGAGTCAAACAGCACTTTTGTCTCTTCTGCCTGAAGCAGCTCTCGGCCACTCACTGTGTTTCACTACCCTGTTTTAGTGTCTTTTCACACTCATCAGTCACTGAGACTGTCTTGTTCGTTTTGATTTATTTCGAGTCCTCCAACTGGAATGTAAGCACTGTAAGAGTAGGGGCTTTTTTGTTTGTTTGTTTAAATGGTCTTTACATCCCTCTGCCTAGAACAGGGCAGGCTCATAGCTGGTGCTCAGTAAGTGTCCGTCCCACAAACGTGTGAATGAACGAAGGAATGCGTGAAGTCAGACACAATCTTCAAAAGAGGACCAAGTCTTATATATCAGCCAAACAATCTATAATCAAATTTGGGTTACTAACCTGGGAATAAGAAGTCTGTGCTCTGGTCTTTGTGTGGTGAATTTCCATACTTTCTTATTACCTTTCACATGCCTGACATGGACTAGGGGCTTAATGAATATTTGTTAGAGAAAAATTTAATGAAAGATAATTTTAAAAAATTATACCCTCGTTTCCAATGAATTGAATTGTTCCTTTGTAAACGAGGTACTCTAGGGGGCTCAGGAGACAAAGAGAGCTTCGGAGTGATGGGACATACCCATATGAAAGCTGAGAGATCCTCAGCTTTTGAGTCATCTTTTGAGTTAAAAGAGTTGAACTTGTTAGCAAATCATGTTTTTAAAGTACACCTTGAGTTGATATAGAGGTAAAATAAAAATCAGTATGTGTTTAAATAGTTATTCTTTTTAACCTAATAGTTTCATAACTGACCCAAAAGGCAAGTTTTTAAATTCTCATGTGTTGGGGTGGAATCCATTTATAGGTGAGCCAGGGTTCAGCCTGTGGGCTTGGATGTAATGAATGGATGCTCCAGTTAGCACGGCATAGGAATGTGACCTTCCTTGATTGTAGCCAAGACTGAACACTAATAGCTGAAATGCAGCACAGCTGGGCACACTGGACCATGACGTGTGTTCTGAGCTTCAGTCTCCTCCCTGGAAAATGAGGAGGTGGAAAGGGTAACAAGGTTGAGATGAACAACCGGTTGCTGAGTCCTTGTCTTTATTCTTATGTTTGGTCCCTTTACACTGAATCTATGTATACACAGTGCTTAGCAGGAGCTAGGTAATACGTTTTATATTTTGAAGAGACTTGGGATGTGGATAACATTTAGGCCATCCCCTTCTTTCACCATCTCTCATGTCACGCCTGCATTACTAGTACTAGCTTTTTAGCTGCCTCTTACTTCTATCATATTTATCTACGACTTTTCTTCCCTTGGTTGATGCTAATGCATGTGTGCTTGGGAGATACTATTTAGTCCACAGGGGATGCCGGGAGCCTGGGGCTCCTGCCCGTGCCTCTGAGGTCCCTTAGACACCCACTTCATAAGGATGTGTCCCCCTACGGGTGCGGCGATCGATCTTTCTGAAGCGCTCTGAGATGGTCAGCCAGGGGACACATGGAGGTGATGTAACACTGTGAGGACAGCAAGCTACGGTTTAGCTTTTCTTCTTGTTAAGGCAACATTTACCCTGAGAGAAAAGAGGCTTCTGCTCAACCTTCCACGGCAGGCATTAAAAAAAAAAAAAGCAGTGTGATTTTGCTAAATATTTCTACTAAATGTTAAATAAATAATTAAATCTCATTATTCTCAGTTATATATTTTTCAATATTTTGCTGCATAGATATACAACTCTTTAATGTGTTATGTGTCAGCTAATTAGTGCATTACAATCCCTCCTGTATTCAGTGTTTAGACTCTATTGCTCATAAATTATACACAGAGTCTAATCTCACCATTTTATGTGATAAAACTTTATAGCTTGTATGTTTGCTTCTTTGACATATATTCATAAGAGATACAAGCTATCAAGGCCCTGTTGAGAAAGCAACTGTTTTTTAAATCTCCTCCCCCACTCATTGTCCTTTTATCATTTAAATAGTTGCAGTAAGAAATGTAACTTGTTTCTTACATTTCTTACAATAGTGTAAGAAAATACAGAGAAGCACAATGAACACTATTTTTAAAGATCACTCTTAACCCTAGCATCAGACAATAACCTATATGAAAATAACACATATAATCTACATGTCATTTTATAATCTGAATTTTCTTTATGTAAAATATGAATAATACACTTCATTTAAATAAAGGTTCTTCTCAACGTGATATTTAATAAAGCATGATGTTGCACCTTGTAGCTGTCTCTAACCTAATCCCCGCTGTGGGAGGCAGGATGGAGAGATAAAAAAACAGGGTCTGAAGCAGGCATCCTTGTTTTAACTCACTGTGACCACGGTCACATTTCATGTCCATTCCATTCCTCAGTTTCCTCATCCATAACATGGGGATAGCAAGAGTACCGGCTTTAAATCCGGTAATGTAAGGACAAAGCAAATCATTATACACAGTACTTAAAGTGCTTAGAGCACTTACAATAATACTCATATATTCTGTTATTGAGTATTATTATCCTATCATTATCTATAATTTCATTTTCCTAATAGAATAATTACCTGGCACATGGTAGGTACTCAGTAAACATTCTTTATTACCTATATTGTTTTCAGTTTTTTGATGTTACGATACTGTGATGGGTATCTTGGAAGAAATGCTTTTGCTCTTCTCTTATGACTTCCCTACAATGAGTTTTTAGACGTAGAATGACACCTGTGCCACTTCCTACTACATCGCCCTCCACGGAGCGTGCACTCGGTGCCCTCCTGTAGCACTGCCGACAGGAAGCAGCCGCCCCTGCTTCTGGAAGTGCCCCGTGGTAGGAAGTGGCAACGGCCCACGTGAGGGTTTGTGCTGTTATTCAATATAAAGTCATTGGGTATGGAACAGTTGGGATTTATTCAAATCACTCTTCCTTTCCAATATTGATATAGTTGGGGATATAATGCAATATACAGATTGTATATCATAGAAATGTACACTTGAAATCTACATTACCCTATTAACCAATGGCACCCCAATAAATTCAGTAAAGAAAAATATTGATAGAATTTTTAGGCAAAGATATAAAAAAAATTAAAAGATGTAAATTTTTGTGTGCTTTGTATATTATATAGTCTGATTTTGCTTGAGAGGATATTTGTATTGGTATAGAAATTCACACTTGACTACATTGTTAAGGGGTTTTCCCCATTGAAATAATTATTTTCTATTTTCAAGAAAAAAGCAACAAGCCATGGGAGCAGTCAGCCCTCCAGAATCCATGCTGGTGGAACCGCCCCGGCCCCCAAGGTCAGTCATTTCCCCAACACCACAGTGATTCCTCTGTGCCAAGGTGTGTCGCTAGTGGGTGGGGCTTACCGGGAAGGGAGGCGGCATCCGTGTATCACTGACAGATTTTGAACAAAGTATCACTTCTGCACTAGGGGAATGCAATTTTAATGATTTGATTTAAAACCTAGTAAACCCATTTATGTTATAATTTTTACTGGCGTATTTTAGTGTGCACAATGAATATTGTTTTCATAAATATCTCTAAATAATACTGTACTTTTGTACATGCTATGAGTAAGAAGTATAGTTCTCCCACTTTTGCAGAAAAGAATTCCAATTGTCTTACTGAGCATGTATCATACCAGGCTCTCCTCTAAGTATGCCGTATAATTATCCTATTCTCATAACCTTATAATTATTGTCCCCTTGTACGTGCCTGAGGAACCCGGAGCCTAGAGAGGTTCAGTGTTCTGGACAAGGTCACCCAGCCAGTAGGATGGAGGCAGAGTTTGCACCCAGGTTTTTGTTCACACAAGGTCCTGGCCATGCTGGGCCCCGTATGGTCTGACTGAGTGTTCTTTGGCAATACAACTCGTCAAAGCTTTGCAGCTTATACAAATCACTGAAATGGCAGCTTTCAAGACAAGAAACTACAATTTTAGCTGGGAGGTTTTAATAATATATAAAACAGTTATGTTCAGCCCATTTCAACTTGTATTCTTCCAGTATGTCCAAGATCATCAAAAACCTTAACCTATTTCAAGACTGTCTATACACCTTTTTAAAAAAAGATTTTATTTATTTATTTTTAAAGAGAAGAGAAGGGAGGAAGAAAGAAAGGGAGAGAAATATGAATGTGTGGTTGCCTCTCATGCGCACCCCCCCCCCCCCACTGGGGACCTGGCCCACAACCTAGGCCTGTGCTCTGACTGGGAATTGAACTGGTGACCCTTTGGTTCACAGGCCAGCATTCAGTCCACTGAGCCGCACCAGCCAGGGCTTCTATACACCTTTTTAAATAAGCATTTTTCCTTTAAAACTGGTGGCTCTTCTAAGGAGGTCTGTGGACTTTCTCCTGTAGGTTACTTGCTTCATGAAGAATAAATATTTTATTGGCTCCTGGAACCCTGGCTGCTTTCCAAGCCCCTAAAAGGTACCAGAATCAAAACTCAGCTGAGAAATGAGAAGAGGCTGGACCAGAGTTGAACACCATTCTAACTAAAAGAGACTTCATGACATATTCTGGTTTTTTTTAAATAGTATCAGGACCTTTATTTAACTTATACTTAAATTATGCCTCATGGCAAAACTGTAAGCCAATGAGATTTAGTGAATCATTTGTATGGTTTCCAGACTTGTTCTCCCTAAACTCTTGGAGGATCTGTACGTTGTGGAAAATGACACTCAGTTTTTTTCTTGAAGACAGTCATAAGAAGCAGCCCCTTTTCCATCTTTTTCTTCACATAGGAAGGTATCGTTTAATCATTCTGAGGTGGAATGGCTATAAAGAATTTGGATTCTTTATAAGGCCCCAGAGCCTGCTCTGTCTCGGGAAGCTCAGAGCAGAGCCAGCTGGGAGGTGGAGACATTTTAGCCCCATGTTTATTGTTTCAGGGTTTAATGGCGAACCTCACATTCTTTCCTTGGCTTCTAAAGCCCTGTCCTTTCCTGCCTCCCTTCTTCTCTCGCCTGTTGTTCTTTCTCACCACGGTTTCCTGGCTCACTTTGCTTCACCGGTTTTCTGAATATTAGATTTCCCTGGGTTTAATTCTTCATTTCTTTCTTTCTCATATCTTTAATTTTTATACAGATTGGAAGAAAAATATATCATATACTTACTTATTTTTTTTGATCCATGATTGAAAGAGCTTTACCTCAGTATTATCATCACCTAAAAAAAAAATAAAATGAAATCATTCCCATGCCTTATTTAGAAAAGCTGGGAGTAATAGCATTTGTGATCATTCGAAACCTTTATTACACAAGTAATTATCATAACACACACGGGCAAAAATAATATTTTCTCAACACATTCAAAAGGTATGACAAAATACTAGATGTAATTTGTGGTGAGAATTAATACCACTTTTCTTGATTCTGGACACATTCTACTTGAAAGTGAAAATGAGTGATAAATTTACAATTATTAAGGAAACCAAGTCTGTCTTAAATATTTAATTTGAAGCTTATGCATAAGCTGTGTATTATAGAATAGTCACCATGTATTGCAGAACTGTTTTATATGAATTTTTACAAAATGGGAATTATATGCATAAGTAATATCACTCCTGCTGGTCTTGGAAGATCCCAAGTGTTTAAGTGGTATCACTATATCTAACTCAAGTTAAGCATTGTAAGATATTTAGTACAGAAATTATATAGGCTCTTATTAAGGCCCATGTGAAAACAGTTTTGATTCATAATATCATGCAATTTTATTGCTGGAAAAGCTCTCAGGCAACTTCTTTCATAACTACCTCCCTGTTCAGGTGAGGAAACTAAGGTTGAACCTGAATTAGGAATCTCTCTGTAGAAGACCACAGCTATTAAGAAGATGCAATGGTTAAGGTTATTAATTGTGATTGGAATCCACTCTGAATAATTCAAGCTAAAAAGAACAATTTCTCAAGGCTAGCAGTTAGCTCATAGAGAAATCCAGAAAGCTCTGGCAGAATTTCCAGTTTCACAGCGGAAACAATGCCCAGCCACACTGTGGCAGCTTCTGCTGCTGGTACCACAGCTCAGCACCTATCACATTTAGGACTGGAAGGTAGAAACTCTGCCAAGGCCAGTCTTAAAGACTGACAAGCCTTATTTCAGATTTCCCAGTGCTCAGGGGCATCCTTACACTGCTTACTTCCAGGCTCATTCTTTTTTGGCACATCTAATTGGCCAATGTAAGTCACATGCCTAAGCCTTGCTACAAGTGGGGTTGTGAGTATTCTGGATTTGGGATTCTGGATTGATTAGGTAGAAATCATTAATATATTAGTGAGGGTTTGTGAATGTGGGTCAGCTGCCAACTAACAGATACCCACTACAGAAAGGAAAACAGAGGGATTACCTAACTCACTTGTCAAACTCATTTTCACTGGAGGCCACATCAGCTTGGCGGTTGCCTTCAAAGGGCCGACTATAATTTTAGGACAGTGTAAATATTATTACTCCTTAGCCAGGGGCAAGGAACTCAGCACAGCTGCTGGCTAGAAACAAGGTGCCAGGTTGGATAAAACAAGGTGGAGGGCTGGATTTGGCCCGTGGGCCTTGTGTTTACCACCTGTGACCTAACTGAGCTAAAAGGAACCATTGATGATATGTTGTTTAGTAACATTAGGCCTTTTAAACCAAAGAAGGTACAAATAGCTTTTCTTCCCACTAGAGGGGAAAAAGATCTAATAAGCACTTGTTGGAGAAATACTTTGTGACTGGTCCTGTTTCTGCCACGTGGGGCCGTGTTAACTTCACTGACCCAGCCCTGCTCTCAGCAGCACTTACTTTTCTCCTGTGATACGAGTGAGGGGCCGTGTTGTGTAAGGCATTCGGCATTCAGAGCCGGCCTTACCTGCGGCACCCGTGGACTGCCCGTGGTTAGTTAGCCGACTCTGCGTGCTAAATGGGCAAGCATTTTCATTTTCATAGTTATGCATATATGTTAACGTTCCATAAAAAGTGAACTAGAACTTCAAGTTCATGATCCCATGACTAGTTTTCTTGATAAGGCTAAGTGAAAAGTTAAAAAATAGATCTATATTTTAAAATAATAAGCAAATATAGTATACTAATTATAAATTAAAAATATATATTACAAGAATATTCAAATAACAAGTGTTTGGGAAACATGAGCAGGCGCAGCAACGTTTATATTGGAAGGTGCATGTTGATTGAATCAGTGGGGTTTTATCAGAGTGGAGACGCTCCTTCAGGAAGTCTGCAGGGAAGCCAAGATTCTGCTTCTCTGATAAGCCTCTGGTTGATGCCAAGGCTGCTGGTCTGGCAACTACAATTTGAGCAGTAAGGATGCTGAATTGTGCTGAAAGTGGGTGGTTAGAGTACCTGTACCACAGATTACCTCAACATTGACTGGAGAATCTGGTTAATACACAGATTCTCAGGTCCCAACCCAAGACATTCTGACATTCTGATTCACCGGGGTGAGGTCAGGCCCAGGGCTTGATGTATTTAAAAGATACCCTTCAAGTATTTTCGATGCCAATGGTATGAGGACCATACTGGGAGAAGAGATGAGCCCCAGGCACTGGACAATCACAGAATATTGGGGGATACTAATGTCCCTCTTCATCTCTCAGGAAAGGAGCCACTTTTTTTCCTGTCTTGCAGGTTATGAATCTTTGGAAAATTTATTACATAACATGCAATTACTCATTAGTACTCTTCAGGAGCACAGACATACTTGCCTTTATTGTAGGAGATACGTTGCCTAGCACTGGAGACTGTGGGAGCTGGAGTTTGCCCCTACTGGGGTGTGGTCCCAATAAGTCACCCTGTGATATTTTTGTCACAGGAGAAAAGAATATGAGTGAAACCAAGATAAGCCGAGGTTTAGTTTAGAAAAAAAAAGAACAATAACAACAACGAAAATACTAAGACTAAATAAAAAAGGATTTTTTAAGCTATATTTTGATTAGAAAATTGTAAGGACAGGGTCTTCTGCTCAGGGAATTATAAAATATTAGAGTTGGAAGGGCTCATACTTCACCAGCTTTACTTAACCAAAATAAATGAACAGTGGCAATAAATAAGGTGGCCGTGAGGAACATACTATAGGAGAAGTCAGAGGGAGGCCAGCTGCTTTGACTACCCCGTGCATGCTGGCTACAAAGCTGTGGAGGTGAGCACTCTTTCTACTGAATGCCAGCTGACTGTCAACTCCGCCTTGGCTGGACATAGCACTGAGTCTCAGCTGTCACCAGGTGGGTCTCAGGTCTCTGCTGCTGAACCACTGACTACCATCTCCTGCTTACATTGCAAGCTGAGTGCCCATAGTGTTTATTGTCACT